AGGCTGGAGGCCAGCTGCAGAGGAGGCTGCTGGGTTGTGCCCGCCCTGGGGACCCGGGAGTGCTGGTGGCCGAGGACGGTGGGCCCCCAGGGCGGCCGTAGCAGGGCTTTGCAGAGCGCTCCTGTCCTCGAGATGCCTTCTGCCCCGGGACCCCCTCCTCATTCTGGCCGTGTTCACACCCACGCTGGAAGGGCGTAACCGTCCCCGCGGACGGCAGTTTGGGGGCTGGTGGGGTCGGGTGCGAGCTGGCACGCAGGCCTCACGGCTCCTCCTGTGTCCTCCGTGCCTTGCCAGGATCGGAGCTCGCGGCTGGCGGAAACCTGCTCGCCCCAGGATGAGTCTGCAATGGACGGCAGTCGCCACCTTCCTCTACGCAGAGGTCTTCGCTGTGTTGCTCCTCTGCATTCCCTTCATTTCGCCCAGAAGGTAGAGCGGAGGGAGAGGGTGCGCGGCCCCCAGCCCTGGCGCCTGTGTGTGTGTGTGCAGAGCCCTGGCACCCTGGGCCTGGGGCCGGGTGGAAAAGGAGAACCCTTTGGCAGTGGGGCAGCCGGGGTGCTTTTTTTTGACCGCCTCTTTGCCACATCTCCGCCCAGTTCCCCTCCCCTGCACCCTGCCTTCTGGTCTCCAGAGTGGCGGGAAAGGAAGGTGGGGCTCTGTTGTGGAGGCCACGCCCTTCCGCCCAGCCTTGAGCCCAGCTGCGTGGGCCGGGATGGCCCTGGGCTCTGAAGGCCTGCACGGCCTGTTGCTGGTTGGCTGACTTCTGCCCTCCTAACCGGCCTCGTCTGTTGCACAGTAGCCTCGTGAGCGTTACTCAGCCTAGAAGGGTGAGACCAGAGGACCTGGTAAAAGTTAATCGGAGGTTAATTTTTTAATTATACATGGATCCAACACGTTGTCCCTGTTTAAACTAGAATGTTACAAATAAGGCTAAATTGCCACAGACGTATTTAAAAACGTTTCAAGTGAAAAACACAGACCCTTTCCAAGGTGATACCTCCTAAAGAGTAGTCTTGCAGAAAAGCCAGTTTGCCTGTGCCGGGCTTGGAGCTTTCTAGGATGAACAACCAAGTTCCTACACAGAGTCACTTGGAAAGGAAAACAACAGAGAGAAGGAAGGGGGATGAAAGAAGAAGACCGGGCACAAAGTAGATGCCAAGGCATTCTGTGGCTTGTGTGCTGCCTGGGCTCTCCAGCCAGGCCTCTGACTGTAAGGCTGCCTTGCTGACTTTCCAGTGTGCCAGTGCTTCTGAAGGCTCTCAGGTCCGCACTCTGGTGTCTGGATGGAAATGTTGGAAGGCCTGGGGTGGGAGAGGGCTAGGCAGAACAAGGTATGCTGTGTAGGACAATGGTTCAAAGAAGCAGCCTGGGTCTATGGCGAACACTGTAAATACTACAGAGGGGTAACGACAGCAAGTTTCCCCTGGCCGCTGTTTTCTTGAGATTCTGTATGTGGACGGGCACCTTTTTCTGAGACGCTCTGCCACTGAGGCTGTAGATTGGGAGAATCGGCAGCTGAGGCTGGCTGTGCGGGCTCCTTGGCTACCGGCAAAGGGTCCCGAGCTGGCTCTCTATTCTGCTCAGAGCCTGGCTTGCAGGGATCTGCTTTTCCTTCAGCCTCTCTGCCTTTCATCTTCTCCTTCCCAGATGGCATAAGATTTTCAAGTCCCGCGTGGTGGAGCTGGTGGTGAGCTATGGCAATACCTTCTTTGTGGTTCTCATCGTCATCCTGGTGTTGCTGCTCCTTGGTAAGTGACCCGGACCCACTCTATGCCATGGGGTCCCTGCTGCTGCTCAGAGACGGGCCGGCCTCGCACCCCTGTCTGTCCTGAGTGTGGAAAAGGCTCTCTTCACCCTCCAAGTGCTGTTGCTGGCCGCTGGGTGCTGGCAGGGCCTTGTCTGTGGGCGGCACCTCTGCCAGTGGGCCTGCGTCCTTAGCTCGAGTTCTGGAGGTGGCTCCTCAGGTCTCTCTGGAACAGATGCCAAGAGAAGCCAACTGGCTGGGACTAAGTAGTGCTGCTCTCCAGGCCCCTAGAAGGACAGGCTCCTCCCTTGAAGTTAAAATGACCTCTGAGAGGAGAGACAAAGCAACCAGGTAGACTGAGTTTGGCTGCGGAGGGGAGCCGTGCAGTGTCCTGGGCATGGGGACACCTAGGTGTTGGGTAGCATGCCTTGGGGACAGATCCCAGATCTGCATCTGGGCTAGACTGAGGTCTCTCTGGGTCATCTGGCTGTGTGGTCCTGTGAGCTCACATTTGGAGGTGCGTATCCCTGGGGCTTGAAGGGTAGACCAGTCAGGGTGGCCCAGGCTGAGGTGGGTGCAAGTGGAGTTCAGCCAGAAGGGGAATGAGCGGTTTATAGGAAGGTGGCCGAGAGGCCTGTGCAAGTCCACAGGAGTCAGTAAAGCTTCTACCTTGCCCTCAGATGTGGTGAGTGACTAGTGTGGCCTCTGCATAGTAGATAGCAGTCTGTCTGCAAGCTGTAGTGTGGGGTAGAAACACTGACGGTGGGCACAGAGCCCCACCCCTGAGCTGCAGTCTTGGGCAGGCGCTCTGCTTCACTCCTGCCTCAGGCCCGATGGGATTTGTTCACACAGCACTACCTTCTGGACAGGCCAGGCACAGCAAACAGGTCAGGGACCAGCTGCCCAGTACCTTGCTGTACCCCCGGGGCATCTCTTCTCCATCAGCACTCACCCTTAGGGCCAGGAACCCCCAGGGGTGTGCATGTGAACTGAGTGTGTAGGGCAGGAACCTGGGAGGGCAGGGGCCATGCTGAGGGTTGTCTTCTCAGGGTCCTGCCCCATCCCCACAACAGAGCCATGTATGTGTCACCTGTTTGCTGGTATAGCTCAGTGGGTGGGAGACACCTTGGTCAAAGCCAGTGTGGTTGACAAACTTCATTCTTTTATGGTATGGGGTTCTGCCTGGGCCTTCTGGAGAGACAGGCAGCTGTGATTGACTGGGTCCTCATTTGGCATTACGGAGCAGCGTCTAAAGAGCTTTGCAGTCCTGCAGGTAGCAGCCTCAAGTTTTTGCAAATGCAAGGGGAAAGCAATGGATATAGCTAGCTAGAGCCTGTGGCCCTGAGAGTTGCTGTCGTTGTCATGCCTAGATCTGAGCTGCTGGGAAAGTGGAGGTGTTGGGGGCTCCAGGTACCCCATCCCCATCTTCTCTTGGAGATGTCATTGTCAACCAAGGTGGTCCATAGGATGCTGGGATTCCTGGAAGTGGGTGACAGTGTAAGAAATCATAGGTTTTTTATCTTGCTTTTCTGACAAAAAATACACAAGTGAGGCAAGAGGATTGCTGTGAGGTCACCAGCCTGAGCTACATAATGAGGCCCTTTTTCAAAACAAATGATACTGCACAGCTATTTTCAAAAATGCAGAAATTGAACATAGAAAGTTAAACTCCCTCATAATCTCGTGTCTCACAGGCAACCATTGTGAATGTTTTACTTTGTTTTTCTTTTTGAGAGTGTCTCTATATAGCAGCCTAGGTTGGCCTTGAGCTCACTGTGGAGCCCAGGTTGGCCTTGAATGCACAGCTATTTTTCTGCCTCAGCCTTGGATACTTGCTGTGCATCTCTGTGTTTACAGCACCAGGATCATATACACACCGTTGTGGGTCCTGCTTTTTCTACTTTTTGTCCCTAAGGTCTTTTTACAGCAATCTCATTCTCTTTAAAGATTGTGTGGCCTTCTTTCACATGGTCATACTGTGGTCTGATTCCCTCCTTCCAGGTGCCTTTGAGACATGGCACATTGGTGCAGTGCTTTTGTGGGATAAATTCATAGGGGTGAAATTGCTGGACCCCGAGGGTTTCCTATTGCAGAGATGTCAGGCAGGGCAGGGAGACTGTGTAATGCATGATCACCTTGAAAATTAAGACCCTGTCTCAAATCAGAAATTCTAAGCTAAACAATATCCAGACCATTATTTCATTATTTCCCCCCTTGTACTGGGGATTGAGCCCAGGGTCTTTGCACTTAGCTGCACCCCAGCCCCTTTTGTATTTTTTGTTTTGAGTCAGTGTCTTGCCAAGTTGCCCAGGCTAGGCACAAATTTAAATCCTCCTGCCTCAGCCTCCCAGAATGCCAGCAGTATAGGTGTATGCCACCATGCCCTGCTTTTCTTTTCCTCCAGCTGAGCCATTCTCCCAGCCCCAGGCAGTGGCATCTTGCCTCTCTCACATGGGGGTCAATCAAGAGCCCTTTTTGGGCAAACCTTTGTGTACTGACATAAAAGCTAGCTGCCCCAGTTAGCTGGCGAAGCTGTAAGTTCCCTTAGTTCCCGAAGCATGGTTTCCCTTTTGGCGTTTCCAGGAACGCGTTGCTAAGCTGAGGCACTACATGTGTGATGGTGGCTCTTCTGGAGCAGAAGCTGTGCTCCTAGTTACTGTGTGCCAGAGCCATGCCAGTCCCTGGGGAGACAGTGCAGATGGCTTCTGTGTTCATGGAGCTTGGGACAGGGGCCAAGAAACCCCTGTTTGAGATGATTTCTGAGACTTGTGTGTGTTCCAAAGCTGCTCACGTGAGGTGATGTGACAGGTGGGGGGCTTAGGTCTGGGGGCATGGACTTCTCTAGACTGCAGGGATGGTTGTGTTGTGGCTGTCTTTCCCTTTCTGCATTTCTGATAAGTTGAACTTTGAATGAGCCTGATTTTTTTTCTGGTCCGAATAAAAACCTAAACAACAAAGTCTATAGTAAGACGTAGGAACAAAAGCTCTCGCTTGCGTCCTCTTGCCAGCATTCCCACAAACAAGACCCTCAGCTTGCCAGTGGGGTGGCCTGGGACATCACGGGAAGAGGTGGGGTGCAGGTTCCCACTGCCTGTGCTCCGTCCTGCCACAGATGCGTACCGGGAGACCTGCAAGTACGACGACGTGACGGAGAAGGTGAACCTGCAGAACAACCCTGGCGCCATGGAGCACTTCCACATGAAGCTCTTCCGTGCGCAGAGGAACCTCTACATCGCCGGCTTCTCCTTGCTGCTGTCCTTGTGAGTGCCAGGGGTGCCTGGCTGCGTGGGCTTCGGCCCCATCCTCTTTGTGTTCTGGGACTGCCCCAGAGGCGGTGTGTAGCTGGGAGACCCTGGCTCACCACGTATCGCCTTCCTCCTGGGAGATTTGCATTTTGGGACCCCACCCTACAGGCTGAGGCCGACCCTGGCCCAGGTGCCAAGTATTTCGGGGGTCAGGAAGGTCCCCAGGGCCCCAGGGTCTGATCGGCAGTTCCGTTCTGGAGGTGGGAGGCAACCGCGGGTGTGGGTGTGAGGGCTGCCCTCCACCCGCAGGCGCAGGGAGGAAAAGCCAAGGCTCGGGCTTCCGCATGGCACCGGCTCTTCATGCTGCTGCAGCAGGAGGCACGGGGGAAGGCATCAGTTTCAGGGCGAGAGTCCAGCCAGGCTAGTGCACGAGGCTGGGACTCGGGCGCCTTGGGCCCCTTGCCCTATTGCTGGTGCCTACCACCCCGCTGCCCAATGCTGGCTCCTCAGGCTGTCCTGGCTGGGGCTGGAGCTAGAAAAGCTTTCATCCCGCTGTCGCTTTCCTGGCAGTTGTCCCTGTGGTGGAACCCAGGCGGGGCCTTGCACGCGCCCAGGCACACACAGCCCCTGAGGCTGCGCCCTTGGCCCTGATAGCTTTGGAAGGTCTCCTGCTCCCATCACAGGTGTCATCTGGGAGCTTGGTGTCTGCCAACTTAGGAGAGACAGGAAATGAGAAAGCTGGGCATGACCAGACGCATACAGTTGTTGAAATGTTTAGTTTGAGGGTGCTCCGAAAGAGTATGATCTTGTGTATGGCTGAGAGGGACACATACCCAGAGGACTGATGCGCAGAAAAGGGGGAAGCGGGGTGCAGCTTAGTGCTGAGAAAAGTTCAGGAGTGTGTGAAAGCCTGCCTCAAGCTCTGCATAGGGACACGGAGCTGCTTTTTACGGCTGTGGTAAAGAGGAGGTGGGGCAAGTGGATCGAAGTTCCCATAGCAGGAGCCCTCCAGAGTGCCCAGCTTCTCCCTGCGATGCACAGAGGTCTGGAGCTGAGCCAAGGAGTCTCAGCAGGTGGGTGGGAGGCGTTCGAGGGGGAGGGGGACCGAGGGTGCCATCAGAGAAGACGGGGTCCCAGTGGCGCCTCAGTCCCTGGAGGAGCACCCCCACCAGTCCTGCTCAACTCTGCAGAGCTCGTGCTGGAGGCCATCCGGCGCCGGACATGGTTGAGAGTAGAGGACCCGCACAGGGCTTGGGAGGGGTAGCCAGTTGCATTAGCCGAAATGTGTTCATGGGCACCTTTACGGATGTGTGTGCAGGTTTGCTGAGGGCAGTCTGAAGTCCGGTTCAGGTACCCTTTCCTCTCCTCTGCAGGTGCTGACCGTGCTGGCTGCGTCCCTTCTGGACTACAGTCCTTAGGGTCATTTCTTTTATTTTGCATTTAGACATAGTGAAGAGTGGCTGCATGCCAGGGACGCATTCTGAGAAGCTGGTCATTGGGCAGTGTTGTGGCAGCAGTGTCATGAGCATATGGGCCTGAAGCCGAATGAATGGTCCGTCCTGCCACCCTTCACAGTTACAGCACAGTGGAGGGGTTTGGTGTCTGAGCAGAAAAGTGTACAGGGTTGAGGCTGGGGCTTGGGGACAGCATCATGTTGACGAGCAAAGGTACTGAAAGATCAAAGCCGGGATGCCTATGTGGGCTGTGGGGGTGTTGGCGGACCAGCGGTAGCTGTGGGTGAGTGAACATGAGTGAAGGCTCCACGTTATGGGCTACACTGACCTGATTAAAAGTCTTTTCTTCCTCCAATAATGGCTTAGCCTTAGCTTACTCTTTTTACTTTGGAAACTTACTTTCTTTAGTTTTTATTTTGAGACAGAGTCTCGTTAATTTGCCCCAGTTGGCCTTGAACTGGTAAATCCTCCTGCTTTAGCCTCCCAAGTGGTTGGGATTACAGCCGTGTGCCACTGTGCCCTGCCTCAGTTTTAATTTGTTGGGTATTATTTTCCTTTTTTTTTTTGTTTGGTTGTTTTGGAGACTGTTTTGCTATTTTGCTATGTGATTCAGGCTAGTCTTGAACTTAGTACAGGTGGGCCTCAAATTTATAGTGATCCTGCTGCCTCAGCCTCCCGAGTTGGGATTACAGGCGTGTACCACCACACCTGGCTTTTACCTCTTTTGCCTCCTCCAGCTGTGTGCTCGCCCTAGGTGGTAGGAACCTTTCAGGACCTCTGTCGCTGTACGGTTCGTCCTTGGTGACATGTGATTGCATGTAGAGTGCACCATGGCGGGGTATAGTTGCACGAGGATTTTCCTTTTTCTGTCTGTGGTAGTGGGTGTGGAAACCAGGGCTGTGTGTGCTAGGGAAGCAGTCTGCCACTGAGCTGCAGCCTGGACCTTTCCCTGAGACTTCTGACAAACAAGATCAGTCCTCCCCTCGCCCTACAGTGTTCCCAAGTGCTGGGCAGAGGAGAGAGGACCAAATTGGGTTTGGTGCACTATTGTTTTGGTTTTCTTTTGGTACCAGGGATTGAACTCAGGTGGGTCCTTGGCCCTTAAGGTGGAAC